CAATAGACTCCTGTGAACGCTGGTGGAGACTTGGTTGGCCAGCTGTGTGGCAAGACCTGGGGACTCTTGGGCCCTGAGTCAGTGACATAGCCACAGAGGTTTAGAGTGGAGAGTGAAGCGTCCAGCTGATAAGAAGAGAGTGCATATGCACAAGAACACCCACACTTGCAGGTAATACCCACTTGACCTGGCTTCAATGACTGGATGATCAGAGCTCAACTAGAAGAAGAGGAAAAAGAGTAATCTGACACAATGTGATGAACTTGACCTACACCTATGGACACAGTAGCTCAAAAGAGGGAACAAATCTTTACAGCGAGGACCATTCCCACCCCCCTCCATACAGAGTAGACAGGGATGGGCAACTTGGACACTGGCTACCCAAAATGGGGGGGCTACCAAGGCAAGAAGTGACTGGCTTACAAGCTTTCAAGAGGGAGCGTAGATCGAAGGGTGCGGAGGAAGGTAGAATCTCCACTGAGTAGTATCCAATCTGTCTTGGCGGGTCTAATGAAAGGAGATGGGGATAAGTTCCTTGTTGTACAATGGTGAATAATTGTTATCAAGACTGACTGGGAGGGTTGGAAATGTAAAGGTGGATGTTTTGTAGCAAAAGGAGGGGAGTGATTAACTTTGCAGCTGAGGTCCCCGGAATCAAGGGAGAAAAGCGGAGTGTGAGACTCTATCCAGAGAAACAGTGACACCATAGATGGAGGCAGAGATGATGATGTGGAGAGACAGAGTGGCTGGGGACTCTAGACCCAGAGAGGAAGAGGGACTGTGTGCTGATGACTGGGGGGCAGGCTTGCAGGTTATACCCTTTGGTTGGTTAATGATGCATACAGGGGATTGTAACCATGGCAATGAATTGATATACAATAGGATGAATGTAAAGCTAATGTTCTCCCATGTAAACTATCACATAATTCACATAAAACATAAAAAAAAAATGGAGAAGGAATATACAGTACCAAAAGGAAATGGTTGATGTTCAACCCTTTCAAGATGTAGCATAAGATCAAGAGCCAATGATTCTGAAGGAAGAAATCCAAGGTGCACTGAAGCAACTGACAAAGAACAAGGCACCAAGAATTGATGGAACAAAAACTGAAATCTTTCAAGAAAGTGAGGCAGCACT